GAATTGAGGAATTAAATTAGCTGCTGTTTGCTTACAGCTGAGGATACATGAAAATTTGCTGCCACCTATATATTTTTATTTGTAATTAAAAACAAAGGATTTTTTTTTTAAAGAGGCATACAGATTGCATTCACAATTTCTTCTGAGCAGGTATGCAAACTCTACAGCATATTATACTTTCTTTATGGACTAACTCCTACTGAAATTGAAAAGAAAACAGTCATGACAGAGAGATCTATCATTGACCCAACAGGACAAAAATTTCTGTTCCCCCTGTAATACAAGGAAGAAAATAATCTTTTTGTTCCAATTCTTTGTGGTCTCTCCCTTTTCTGTGGAAGAATTCAGACATCACACTCTGAGGCATTATGCAGACTAATGAAGATGCAGGTAAACAAATTGTTCCTCTCCGCTATCTTACTGTTACCGAAAGAATGCAGTGTACTTGTTACGTATGCCAACTGCATCCTGGGTTGCATCAAGTGAAGTGTGGCCAGCAGGTCAAGGGAGTTGATTCTCTTGTGAGACCCCACCTGGGGTCCTCTATTCAGCTCTGGGGCCCCCAACATTAGAAGGACATGTGCCTGCTTGAGCGGGTCCAGAGGAAGCCATGAAGATTATCATGGACTGGAGGAACATACCTGTGAGGACAGGATGAGAGAGTTGGGGTTGTTCAGCCTGGAGAGTAGAAGGCTGCAGGGAGACCTTATAGCGGCCTTCCAGTACTTAAAGGGGCTACAGGAAAGATGGGGAGGGACTCTTTATCGGGCACAGTAGTGATAGGACAAGGGGAAATGGTTTTAAACTGAAAGAGGGTAGATTTAGATTAGATAGAAGAAATAAATTTCTTACTGTGAGGGTGGTGAGAGACTGGAACAAGTTGCCCAGAGAGGCTGTGGCTGTCACCTCCCTGGCAGTGTTCAAGGCCAGGTTGGATGGGGCTTTGAGCAACCTGGTCTGGTGGAAGGTGTCCCTGCCCATACAGGGGAGATGGAACTAGATTATCTTTAAGGTCCCTTACAACCCAAACCATTCTATGATTCTGTTCTATCTAATGACAGTATGTCTGCATGGGGATCAACATAAATTATGGTGAATACTGAAAAAGTAACAAGAAGTTTTCTATTAAAAGTCAGCATTTTATTACAGTTATGAGCAATTAAGTAATAACTGCAGTTAAGCACTGGCCTTTTAAGCCATCACTAGAGTTACCAGAATTTTAAAGCAGATGCTCTCAGCAGTAGCAGTTCAACGAACAAGGAAAGACTACATCGACATCATTAGTCTCCATTTGATTGATTTACTAACTTGATTCCATTTTCCTAAAAAGAAACAAGGTAATGAAGGAATAGCAAGGCAAAGAAATGAATTTGCTTCTTTTTTTCGTATTTGTGGTTGGCGTGTTGGCCTGTTGTTTTGGAAAACTAAGTGCTCACTCTTGAACTGCACGGCCCTCTTTGCATCACAGAAATCCAAATGCTTCCTCACTGCCAAATAGAAAAATCCTATCTATCTGAACAAAGACAGAGCCTCCAATTCTTTATGAGAACAAACTTTTATGTGAAATGTGGTACTCAGAGACCTAACTTCATGTTGTTACTCTAAGACTGAAAGTCACAAATTGGCCTCTTGACACAGTTACCCTGCCATACACACTTCATGAAATAGCTAAGAATGAGATAGTTGATGAAAAAAAAAGCACAATCATTTCTTTCATTAAAACCTGTGAGTCAAAATACTGTGGATCTGTATTTCCTCGGGATATTTTTATAGCTAGGTATTTTTGCCCACTCAGTCAGTAAGCATTTATTTTATAACATTCAGCTTGTCTTTTGAATCATGGCAGTGGTTCATTTTTTTTGCATATGTAGACAATGGATGCCTGTATGCAACAATAGCGTTTTTTGCATATGAGAAGAGAAAATGAAAAAGTACAGCAAATGGAAGAAAAAATAAGTTTTGTCTTTAGTTTTCTATGGAAAACAAATAAAGGATTGCAGATGCCTGTGAATGAAGTAGCTGTGGTTAATCCTATATAGATTTTCAGCTACTCATCTAGGATTTAGAAGCGTCAGGTAGCTGTAACAGAGAATGGAAGACGATCCAGACAAATATCTGCTCCTACATTGCAATTTTTCATGCCTCAAAATACTCGAGCACTCTAGCCAAATCCTGAAAGGTTCTCAAACACCACAGGACTTCGTCAAAGGGATATAAAAGTCTTGCAAGAGCCAGGCCTTATATTGTAATGGTCTATGTTTATTTGGAGTCTCACTTCCACTCTCTGTTACTTCCACTTAACTTCAGCAGTATCAGCAGTCCTGCTGATTTGAGTGAGAGTTTTTAGGAGCTCAGTGCTCAGCATGAATTCAAATGCTCTACTGGCTTTAACTCAAATCATCTGGCAGGACTGTCCCCGTTTTGCTTTGGAAACAGATTACATGGACTCTGCTTAGGAAATAGCTCCCTCTTCTGTTCTTGCTGAAACCAAACCAGTCCTTTGAAGGAACAAAACTATTTCAAACCACTTACTACAGCAATGGAGCACAGTACCGCAGTATATTGCACAAAATGGTGCACTGGGACAGTCCTCTTTCAGTCCAGCTCCTCTTTTTCTGCTCACTCCAGAACTACTGCATAAGGTCAGGAAGTGTCAGCACATCCAACTACAGCTCAGTGAAGTTAGTACAAGAGATTTCTTGGTCAGACAAGAATCTTCCCAAATAATTTTATCTAGTCCAATATGCTTCTGACACTCATGTACTATATATTCACTGATTACAAAGTAATACACTTACTCTTCTCAGCTGTGTTGGGGAGCTCTCAAAATCCCCCTGAAGCTGTATTCTTTACCTCAATTAATGCTGAGCATGAAGTAATAAACCATCCTGAAACTAGAAAGGATGAAGTTGTGGTTAGCACTAACTTACACGATCTGTCAAGCTAGATGAAACAAGAGTTGTATGGATTCAGATCCTGTTTCTTCTGCTTCCACAGTGACTTATGAGCTGGATCTCTGCATTCACATGGAGTAAGACTTAATAAAACCTTCTGGAAGCAGAGTATCAAAGGTGGCTCTGCAGGCACCACTTCAGCAACAGCTGGACTTGTATTGCTTGGGTTCAGCTGTCATCTGATATAGCTCAGTTTTCCTGTACAGAACATAATGGAGAACTGACCTCTTGTGGATTTTAAGACTTAAGACAGTAGTACTTTGGCCTGTCATTCAATAATCTTTCACAACTGAAGTCAGCTAACACTGTAAAATAACTGCGTAATGCTGGTGGCCATTTTCAGTTGCTTTTTGGTTCCAGACAGGAAGTGCCACCCCTGGCCCATTTGCAGCTCCACTAGATCCCCAGTTTGATAACTCCCACAGCCTCTAACATAAATCTGGGAAGACCTAATATATCATTGCTTCCTCATTGCTTCCTCATGATCTCAACAGGCCTTCCACACACTGTGTCTCAAGATTTATAAGAAATTAAATAGGAAAACAAAATAGTAATAATAATTTTTAAAAGTCTCTGGTTGCAGTTTTAGCATATTAATGAGGTTTTTCAGCACTTAAACAAAAGCAACAAACATGGCTGCTCTTAAATTTAGTAAGACAGAAATACTACTTTATGGCCCACAGAAAGGGATAATGGCATGTGCCTCAGTTTATGGAGCAATAGGTGATATAAACTCAAAAATATTATAATACATGCTCACCTCCAGCACTGGAGTGTACCACAAGACCAAAACTCAGGGTGGCTGAGCTCTATGCATGACTTTACTACTGACATGCTGTGTGACGTGTAGCATGCAGGTTTCTCTCTGCCTGCTTCAGTTTTCCTATTTGTAGCATGGGCAGAGTGATACTCACCCCCTGCTTACAGTTGTTCGAGAGTTGCTGACGAGAAGTGCTAGATTATGAGGCAGAAGATTTTATTAAGCAGATTTTATAAATGCACAGACAGGGCACAATTGCCCTGCATTGCTCAAACCTAGAGCATCTCCAGCCATTCAGAATTCCAGACTGGTTAAACACAGATGGATGACTCAACCTGAAGCATTTCAAGACCCAACCCAAGTCACAGCTCTACTACGAAGCCAGCTTTGAGATATGGGAGTCTGGGTCCTACTGCTTTAGCAACCCCCAAATAAACAAAATCCCATGCCTCCCACTCTTAAATTCTGCACAAAAACCCAAAACCAAACCATCTAAACCAAGATCAATTAAGAGTGTAAGGCAGGCCAAAAATACATATTTGAAGCTCACAGGAGACTCTTATAATCCTTTTATTTCAATAGGAAGCAATGCAGGACAATAAAAAAAAAGTCTGAGCTAACTTTTGAGTCAAATAATTTGAGACGTGTGGCTTGTGTGGCTGCAGCATCATGGTGCATGGGGCTGCTAATTTGGCTTAGTCTAAATACTGCAATGACACAGACTATCCTTCTTCAAATACACACCGCAGTGTCTCTACGTGGTACAGCACTGTGCTGGTAGCTAAACCAGCCTGTTTGAGCATGGCTTAGGTATCTCAACACAGCACTGCATTGAACCATGTGAACATATGCATGCACTTGGCTGGTATTTCTTAATTTTATCCTCTGAGGTTTTTTGGATGTACTACTGCAATACTCAGAGATAATCAACAATATTTCCTAAGGAGCAAGCAATGTCTCTGGAACACTGTAGATGATCTCCACAGGTAGGAGTCACCTATATTGCTTAGATGTCTAAGTGGTCTGAACTAGTAATTAGTTCCCTTTTGAAGCAGTAAAGAGAAGCCAGCACCTCTAGGCTCTCTCCACTGACCAAGAAAGGAGTCTTGAGTGGTTTGGGATGTCAAAGTTAGTACATTAAATCTTAAAACTTTTCTGCCTTTCACTATCTTCACCTCTTCCAGCTAATTCTCCCCAGTGAAACCAGAAGGTGTATCTCAGGAACTCATAGCCCACTATCAGATTTCCTCAATGTTTTAGTGTAATATTCTTACAAATATTCTTACCTGTGGCCTGACAACTGACTCTCATTTTTCTTGAGGGACCTTTCTCTCTTCTCTCTTCCAGCCCCTGAATGTCTGTGAGGGGCACTCACTTTAAAGCTTTTTTCATTGCTGTCTATACCAGAGCTTGGAACTAATTTTCTTTCTTCTGTCTTGGTCTTTTCCCTTTCAGACAGCAGTTTGGCAAAAGAGTCATCTGTATCTTTGGTGATGTTTCTTTGTTTTTCAGAGGCTGAACTTGAGTGTGAGCTTGACATAGTCTTTGATGCAAACTCTGTATTTACTTGTGTTGAAGACCCTTTGCTTTCCTGAAAATCAGTACTTGAGACATTCAGGTCATTTTCTTCATGTTCTTCACCCTTGAGCTGTGCTGTGCTGCTTACACTAGTGCATCGTTTTGAAAGCCTCCGTTTTTGCAAATCCTAGAAATAAGTGCCATTAAAACATAGATTAAAATGTGAGCATCTTTAAATATGCATGAAAAGCAAAGGAAAGTTCTATCACTAATTTCTGGGCTAAGCAATTTGTTTATTATTAGGAATCAGGTTATATAGTAAATCAGATTTTTTAGGAATTGTTAATAAGGCAGACATACACACACTTTTACTTAAAATTTGAACACTGTTAAAGGGGCTATACACCATTAAAAACTGCTTTCTTTTACCCAATAACATCAATAAAGTATCTCCTAAAAGCTGAATTTTGGGGTTGTACCCAACTTGGGAAACCCAAGACATACAAAACATTTTTCTGGAAAGTCTGTCCACTACAGGGATCTAGTTTTTCTTTCCAGATCAGAGATATTTTGAAGAGTCCAACAAATTCATTTAATGTCCATATTCTCTTCAGTATTATCTAAATGATATGTTAAAAAATTTTCAAAGGCTCATTACTGCAACCCTAATTTTACACATGGAATGTTCCTGTCTATATAAAAGCAGCTTGAAGGTAAAAAAAAAAAAAAGAGGCAAGAAGTCGAGAACTGTGTTTTAAAAACACTTACTGATGGAATATGGTCTGATTGGAGCAATTTTAAAACATATTTTTAACTGAAAGTAATTTTCAGTTCCAAACTGCTACTAATTAAATGTGGGGTTTCAGGAAAACCTGAGTAAAACAGATATGCATGGCTAAGAAACCTTTGAAAGCTGTAGATACTGCTAAGATAAAAAAGCAATTTTCCTAGGAAAACAGAAAATCCCCTCTGTCAAGAGATATTAAGAATGGAAAAGATTTATAAAGAAATTCTGTAACCTAAGATCAAGACATACAGCGGGTATTTGCATGTAGTAGTTATATCTGAAACAGTTTGAATTTCTGTATTAACCAGAACCACTTCCCTAACTTACCACATATTTTCAAACTGCAGATTTAATGGATTAGCATGCAGAAGTCATTTCAGTATTATTTGCAAATTACTTTATTGCAGCAGGTTAGATATAAAATCCATGGCCAAGCCAAATATTTTGTTAAGTGTTGGAAATCACCTCTGGTGAACTTGCTACTGGTCCAGCCATCATTCCTCTGATAAAGAGACCAGACCCAGGCCTTGGCTTCTCCCTCACTGTGGCTTTCAGCTCCTCAGAAATAGTCGCTGCTTTTAAATCTTCTCGACTATCTTTTAACTTCTTTTCTCCATCAGAGGGTAAGTGGCTGTTGTGTATTGTTCCTGTGTGGCATTTTTCACTTTTGTGCCGATGTTTTCTGAATGGAAGGATTTTATCTAGTGGATTCTCAACATCATATCTACAAGAAAGGAAAAGGCAGAACTTCAACTCCAAACTGCAAAATAATGTACAAGGAAATCAGTGAAAACATCTGCTTGGCTAATTACAGCACTACCGTCAAATTAAGTTATTATCTAGCAATGGTACTCAAATACAATCACCTTTCACTTAAATATCTATATGTAGGTCTCCAGGACATTATTTTATTATCATGTGTCATAATTGGTTATAATCTGTGTAACACTTTAATCTTAGACTCACTTATTTTGATATGTACCATATCATAACAGAAAGCAAACTACATATATAGACAGGTCCAAAGCTACCACCAGCAGTTCCCATTCCTTCTCTATCTGCTTGCTTGGCAGTTTGAAAATTTGTTAACACTTTTGCTAACACCCTCTGTTATAACTTAGACTGACCCTACGGACCCCCTTCATTCTTTGTTCAAATGTAAACACTTATTTTAGTTCAAAAAGAAAGGTACTTCTGTATTTGGGCTTTTCCTTGATAATAGGTTGCTACACTGCTGCCATTTGGCCTCTTACGTATTCTTCAGCCTGGTCTTCCAGGTAGCAACACAAGGTGTAGTTCCATTTTGCATCTGTTTTCCTACACATATATAATGCTATAAATAAGGTTTTCTGAAATGCAAGTGAGATTCACCTGGATCTGTCACTCTGTTTGTACAATGCTATATGCTTTTGTTTCTTTAAAAATATCTTCTAACAAATCATGTTCTTCCTAAAAAAAAGTCATCACTTGAGCTTGTAAGAAATAACAGAATCATAGAATCCTAGCATGGAAGGGGGATTATCTGGTCCAACCTGTCTTGGCTAAAGCACGGTCTAGACAAGATGGCCCAGCACCCTGTCCAGCTGAATCTTGAAAGTGTCCAGTGTTGGGGAATCCACCACTTCCCTGGGCAGGTTATTCCAGTGGCTGATTGATCTCATTGTGAAAAATTTTCCTTGTGTCCAGTGAGAATCTCCCAAGGAGTAACCTGTAGCCATTACCCCTCATCTTTTCCATGTGACTCCTTGTGAAAAGGGAGTCTCTATCTGCTTTGCATCCACCCTTTAAATACTGGAACATGGAGTTAAGGTTTCCCCTAAGCTTTCTCTTCTCAAGGCTGGACAAACCCAGTTCTCTCAGCCTTTTCTCACAGGGCTGGTTTCCCAGTCTTTTGATCATCTTTGTGGCCCTCCTCTGGACCCCCTCCAGCATGTCCAGATCTTTTTTGTATAGTGGGGACCAAAATTGAACACAGTGTTCTAGGTGTGGCCTGACAAATACCAAGTAGAGTGGAATAATGGCTTCTCTACCTCTGCTGGTGATGCCTTTGTTGATGCAACCCAGCATCCTGTTGGCTTTCTTTGCTGCTGCAGCTCACTGTTTACTTATACTCAGCTTGTCCATCAGGACCCCCAGGTTCTTTTCCACAGAGGTGCGCCTCAGCTGGGTAGATCCCAGACTGCTGCACTCCTGGATTATATTTTCCCAGGTGTGACACCTTACATTTGTCTTTGTTGAACTTGTTAATGTTCTTGTTAGCCCACTCTTCCATACTATCCAGGTCTTCCTGTTCTCCCTTCCATAAGTCCAATGGCAAGTCTGATTTTTTTTATCAGGATCTGCTTCACTGTCTGCATAATATTAGATCACTGTTAAAATAGAAGTCTTTTTGAGTAGTGCCCACTTCACTGAGAGCACTTTTGTGTCATCAATAAATTTATATTCTGTGTAACCTGAAAATAGTAGCCTTCTTTATGATAAATGTCCTTGAACCTTTTTTCACTCTAGGAAGTTTTTCATCCTATTTCATACTAAAGGAATTCCAGAAGTTGAAGGATCTTGTATCACAGAATTATTCCTTTAACATTTAACCAGCTAAAAAATTATTTTTGAAGTAGTATGTCTTGTGTTGTGAAGACACACTGCATATGTAAACAGATGGGAGCACGGTCAGTCTCTGGGAGCATTAGAAATCTGAGGACTGTTACTCCTGACCTAGGAGAACATAAACCCTCACTGCCAAAGGGCACAGTGTGCCAGTTTAGAGTCTGTTTTAACATTTACAGACATTAAAAAAAATTCAAGAGTTAAGTTAAAAAGAAACAAGACTCTAATAAGGAACCAGCAAAGAGTATCCATCTAATTATACTCTCTACTCCTGAAAGTATTGTTAAAAATTACCCAGGTAGTTGAATTTAAAACTAATTTCAAGCACTGGCTGATTGACCTGGCAATGCCTGATTTTTCCTTGGCTAGAGGGGATGGAAATAGCTACAAGGATCACAGAGCTGTGCTCTGCCATAGTGTTTCTCTCACAAGTTCATTCTGTGGGCTGAAATAGATGTGGTTAAGCCATCCCATCAACCTGCCCACGACAGTCCTTGTAATGGCAGATTTGCAGCCTCTTCCTTATGGCCACGCTGCAAAAACACAGCTGGGACAAGACTTGATCCAGGGGAAAAATGAAACCACCCGTGTCTGAGAGTCTGATTCTCAGCTGGTTTTAAAATTAAAATCAGTTACAAATACCAGTTTGTATCGGGACAGGCCCCAAAACCCACATTCCCCTGTCATACCCACATGTCTCATTTTTTCTTCCTCGCACCTCCAGCCAACTTCAGGTTCTCCCATCTCAGGAAGGCATAACCAGTGAGTTTGGTGCATACAAAGACATGAAAATGGGTACAAAATCACACAGGATTTAGATGGAAACCTGAAAGTCAATACAGGATTTTGCCTTATCCATAGCTGGCAGCTTTCAGTGTGTGGCTGGGTAACATTTCCATTTAGTACACACAGAAGTTTGGGCATTTCTGCTTTTCTCTTTCCAATTTTCCTTTCATCTGCCATTTCTGGCTCCTCCCTGCCCCACCAGCTGGGGCAATGAAGGGGATGTTACTATAAAAGCCAGCAGAGGAACTCTGTAAGACTCATTTTGGAGTTTTAGAAAGCAGGCATTCTTTACTGCAGTGCTGGACACACATGTGAATAACTTTGCAAAAACTGAGCATGCCCAAGATTTATAAGCAGCTAATATACAGTGTGATTATATATAGTTATAATTTTTCTAAGAAGTTACACATTAGGTTTCCTGGAATTAATTATAATATTTGCATCCTAATTATGCATGCACTTTCTTGCTGGGTGGTAGTCTCAAGGGGTCCCTGGTAGTCTTCCTCACTGTGCCTGCTGGCTGACCTCTGTGCTCACAAAGGTCTGTTAGGATGTGTTGTGCAGCTATGTTGTGTCTTGAGCTGGTTTGTTTTAATTTGTCTGGTCCTTGTTCCTGTTATCTTTAAGAATATGTCCTGACTCTCTTATTTATTACTTTATGACAGAATCACAGGATCAATCAGGTTGGAAAAGACCCTTGTGATCATTGAGTCCAACCATCAGCCCTACTCTAGAAAGTTCTCCCCTACACCATATCCCCCATCTCATCTAAACAACCCTTAAACACATCCAGGGATGGTGACTCCACCACCACCTCCCTAGGCAGCCTATTCCACTGTCTGACCACTCTTTCCATGAAAATTTTTTTCCTAATGTCCAGTGTAAACCTCCCCTGTTGCAGTTTAAAGCCATTCCCTCTTGTTCTATCACTAATTACCTGTGAGAAGAGACCAGCACCGGCCTCTCCACAATGTCCTTTCAGGTAGTTGTAGAGAGTGATGAGGTTTTCCTGTAGCCCTCCCCTCCTGAATAAACAGTCCCAGCTCCTTCATTCGCTCCTCACAGCATTTATTCCCCAGGCCCTTCACCAGCTTCGTTGCCCTCCTCTGCACTTGCTCCAGCACCTCGATATCTCTCTCGTATTGAGGTGCCCAAAACTGGACACAGTACTCCAGGTGTGGCCTCACCAGTGCAGAGTACAGGGGGACTGTCACCTCCCTACTTCTGCTGGTCACACTATTTCTCATACAAGCCACGATGCCGTTGGCTTTCTTGGCCACCTGGGCACACTGCTGGCTCATGTTCAGCTGTTTGTCAATGAGGACCCCCAGATCCTTCTCTTGCAGACAGCTCTCCAGCCACACCTCCCCAAGCCTCCAGCCATGCACGGGGTTCTTGTGGCCCAAGGGCAGGACCTGGCACTTGGCCTTGTTGAAGCTCATCCCATTCACATTGGCCCACCGATCCAATCTATCCAAGTCTCTCTGTAGAGCCTCCCTATCCTCATCAGATCGATACTCACGCTTAACTTGGTGCCATCTGCGAACTTACTGATGATACAAACCCCTTTCCTCTTTATGATACAAACATCTTTTTATCTTCAACCCCCTTTCTTCTTTATAAAAGCACCAACCTTCGGTTGTGTTCGCACATTCCAAAAGTTACACTGACCTACTCTATTCTCAGTGCAAAAAAGATATTAGTAAGACGTTTTGGCTTACAGGGAAGACTTTGCCCCTTGAGGGAGAGTGCCCACGCCATCTCCCACCCTCTCCCATGGCCAACACGCACTAGTTCTCCATGTGAGGCTTTACATTGCCTCTTTGCTTTTCTGTCTTCGTGTGTACGTGTATAACAACCGTGTACAACTGCGCGGGTCTGTGTGTGGGGAGGGTATTGGGTGCAGAGGGGGGTGCTGGTGGTGTTCGTGTTCCACATGCAACCACACTGCGCATGTCCTTCCCGCCAGTGGAGGATTACAACCATAGAGTGCCCTCCACTTCACAGCAGAGCGGCCCCGTAACGTGCCACTTCCTGAGCAGTGGGGGCCGCTCTGGGCCAGCAGCCGAGCACTCGCCTTGAGCCGTCGCTCGCCCTCCCGCCTCCCCGCGGGCGGGGTAGGGACTCGCCCGGCTGCCACCGCTCTGCGCACAGCGGGCTCACACGGCTGGCGGGGCGCGGGTGCGTGGCAGCCGGTCAGCTCTGCTGGGGGCTGCTCTTCGGCGGCAGGGGGGTTGCTAGCGGAGTGCTCTGTAGGAGGGAGGTTTTTGCTGTAGTAAGACAGGTCTGCAGGCCCTGGGGAGCCTCGCCGGGGGAACAACTCGCAGTGTGCACGGCAAGGGGAGAAAAGGAGGCAGGTGTGAGCTCTGAGGCAGCCTGAGGTGGGATAGTATCAGGCGGGGGAAAGCAGATCAGTGACAACACGCTAAAAGATCCTGTATCCGAAACACAGAAGCAGCTAATTACTTTTTTTTTGCACTGCTTCCTTTTCAAGTGTCGCTTCTCAGCTGGTAGCATCAACTTTTAAAATCTTGGCTTTCTTCCTCTATAAAGAAGGACTTGATGGGATTTTGCAAGCACTGGTGCTCAGACTTAGTTAATGTTGAGCATGCTGTGCTGACTATGAGGAATAAAATTAGATTAATTCCCTGAGAGTCAAGGCTGGGAAGGAAATTACTCTTGTGCCCATTTTAAAAGCTTTCTACTGAAGCACAGCTAGGGCTGTTAACCAACCTTGAGGTACTAATAAATGCAATTGAAAGACATTGTTACATGCTGTTTCCAGGTATTTTTCAAGATGGAAATAACTGAACCTGTGCTGTTTATAACAATACTGAATTTAAGATCGTAGTCCTTGTTTTTGACTATGTAAGGCACAAATATACCCGTAGTTTGAGTGCAGGTGGTAAGTTTCTAATCAGAATATGCTTCAGTTTGAATATTTCCCAATTTACAAGGCATAAAATCTCAGATTTCTATGTGCTTCCGTGACTGAAAGATGTAATTGAGATTACTAATCCTCATACTTCGTAGGGAACATAGAAGAGCATTTTTAAAGGGTGACTTGCATAGGAGATTTTAATAATCTGGAAATTTAAGCTTTGTGTTACTAGGATAACTAGTAATAGGTAGTATAGCTGAAGGTATAAATGATAAAACTTTTGACATTATTTCCCTTATTAAATAATAAAACCACAGCAATGACAAGACAGGGCAAAGAGAAAGAAGTAGGACCATACCTGTAGACTTGAGTTTCACTCTCCTCAGGCATAATGGCACTTCCACGCACATGATCTTCATCTGTGAAGTCGAGTGGGTGAGAAGTTAAACTCTTACTTTGAGGAGCTGAAAGAGTAGAACTTGAACTGATGCTTCTGGAAGTCCCACGGTGCTCAAGGAAGTAATTAGTAATAATTTCAAGAAGTGTTTTCAGTGGGTTCTCCTTTGCCTATCCAAAAAGAAAAACAAAGTTCTTGGTGACTATTGAAACTCTTTGTTTGTCTTGCTGCAGCCTAACACAGGATATTCTTTTGATACTGTGCAGTAGCTGAATGTGTTAACTGTTTTCTAGATAGAGCTGCCTGTGGGTTTGCCGTAGATGTGACTACAAAAACATTGGAAGACCGAAGATGTCAGCTAGGGAACATCAAGAGCTCAAAGGTGTTGGTGTGTTAAATAAAATAAGTTTTGATAAGGAAGAAATAACCTGTTTTGGTTGTTCCTTAGTCTCATTACAGATGAATGTTGCAAAGTATGGTAACTATGCTAGAATACACCTTTTCTGATATTACCTGGTCAGCTTCATAAGAATGTAGAATGAACTGCAAGTACTTTTAGTACCTGAATTCAGTATTTGTGGTTTATTGTACCAGAACTTGGTGAGAAGCATGGACTGTAGAATTCTTTTCATGGACTTGGGATAACTCATAAGTAGAGAGTCACCTCACCCCACTTGTTATAGTGGTTTTCAACAGTACTCTGAAAAATGTGTCTTATGTACATGATCATTAATTAAAAAAAAAAAAAAAAAAAAACACCAAAAACAAAACACCCCACAAAAATTATGGGCTTAAATAAAAAATGCTATGATGTCTGCTGTAGTGATGCAACTATTCTGGGCGATTTTTTTGAAGTGACTTATTACAGGACAGTTTCATGCTGCTTATCAAAAGCATCATGGTGAACTGAAAATGGAAATTATCTACTGAGGTCCCTGTCATCAAATATTGCTGTCTGTATTACATTTCAGATAATAATAAATGCTAAAAGTATAATTTTATCTGCCAGGTCTTCTACAAAGTTGCAAATAGAAATGGACATGTAAGGCTACTTCCAAAATTGAATAATCTGGCCATAATGACAGAACAGCTGTTAAAGTGAGTAATTGTTCCCGGTTTACTGGAGGTTGTGGTTTGTAACAAGGGTTCATGAACTGCTAGGTTCTTAGCTTCATCCCATGAGCTGCAGTCTCACCTAAAGGTTAAGCTCTCCATTCTCCAGTGAACTGTGTGTGTCCACAGAAAGGCAGTACCAGGCACAAGCTTGAGTTCTCTGCAGTTCGGACATACGCTACAGTCTTGATGTTGCTGGTCTAGTTTCACGGTATCTGATAACCATATTTTGGGAAGCACGACATGTTTCCTTACCTTGTTTTGTTTGTACAAGGAGTGCAGATGTAGGACATTTCGAAGTTCGTTCCTGTTACTGATGCTAAGTGCAGAACGTGGAAGTTCTTGGTCCATGGTAGTGATAGTTTTCTTCAAGCCCTGAGAAGGAAAGTGTCAGATTTCAGAGTACCTGAGACAGTACAACTTACCAAAGCTTTTCTTCTTGACTTTGTTGGATGTAATATGAAACTTCTGGATGGCAGTAATTAGTAAAAACTTAACCCTTAGAACCTGTACTTTAATGGTACAATTGCATTATTACACCTGCAGATTTGGAAGTAATTAAGTTGCCTATGTTGTCTGTGAGATGGAAATTACCAAACATGGCAAAAAAAAGACCATTATACAGGTGACTTCAGCTGCTAAACAGCCTCATAAGACTGACTGCTCTGTATGAAGGCCCCTGCTAGTACCTGGGCTTCTGCTACAAACAGTTCCAGAAAGACTGTGTTTGCTTTTTCCATCAAGATGTGATACAGCTTTTCATAAGTAAGATTCTGACTTGGGTAATTACAAAGTCTGAACATCAGATGTGCTCTAGCTCTCAGTGGTTTCAGCCTTTAACATGAGTTGAAATTATTCTGCTCAGTCTCAGGTTGGAAATCCCTCAGATCCCCATGGTATCAGTGGATTTGGGGTCTTCAGACTTCCTCATATACTCTGAATCTGTAGTCAGCATACGTGGGCACTTCAGAGTCAAAATGTACGGGCATCTCACTTTCTGGAGGTAGAGCCTGATTTATTGTGAAATGTCTGAGTCAGATCCTAAACTTACTCAAGTAGTACAACAGCAGACCACCATTTCGAAAGTCTTGACTTCGTCTCTGAAGGGCTTTTGTTAAAAGAAGTATTTTTCTGCAGATGATTATCTGGCTCAGATTTAGGGAACTATGGACGAGTTGTAAATAAAGGATGGTTATCATAGTTGGCTCTGATATGTATTAAAGATTTGGGGGAAGAAGGAGAACACTTGGGCAGAAGCATAAGGGATTATCTGTGCTTGTTTTTGACTCTAGGGTATACAGTATGAAACAGATGTGGCAATTCAAGTGTAAATTACTGTTGTAAACTGTATGGTCTGTTTTACCAGCAGAGCACTCCCTTTCCTTTTATGCTTTAATGCAGTTTTACCTTTAAAGATACCTAACTCAGAAATGTAAATGACTTTCATTTGAAAAATCTTTGCAATTGATTGGACAGACTTGAGCCTCTCATACTTCCGGCAGTAAATGGCAAATAAGCAATTCTGCATCTGAAATTCTTTTGGCAAATGTTTCAGCTTTGTTCACAAACATTGAAAATGTGCATTTTGATACTGGATGCAAAACAGATAAAGAAAATTGAGGTTTGTGTAGCACTTAGTAAGACAACGGCTCCTTAACGTACAAGCTAACTCATTCCTGACACTGGGGGACTGACTAGGCTGGACATCAGAAGTATTTCCCTAGGAATGAACGGAAATACAAGGTGATAGGTACTTTAATCTGGAAATGTGAAGGTGCCATTTCTTCAGCTCAATCCCACACTCCCCACAACTACGTACAGTACAAAGTTTCTTTTACAGCATTAAGTTTGTGGAAAGTACGACGGCCTCTTTCCTCCCCAGCTCCCTGTCCCCCTCCCCCCAGATAAATCTGCCGTCTGCCAAACTATTACTGAAAACTGGAAAAAAACTTCCTACCGGTTCCTCTAGCACTGCTACCTTTCGCATTTTTTTTTCTTTTTTTAAAGTATTTGTTCTGGGAAGTTGTGTATGCCTTTTGTAAAAACAAGAACAATAGCATGATAGGTAATTAACAGGAAAAAAAAAAAAAAAAAAAAACCAAAAAAAAAACAAAAAAAAAAAAAACCCCACAATTAGAGAAAGACTTCTGTCTTCCCCTTTGTTAGTCTCATATTCTCTTTTCTTTCACCAAATGATACATGGAGTCCATAAAAATTCCTCTCATGAATAGAGGGGCAATGTAGGAGTTTGAGG